ATCAGGAAGGGGGCCAACACTTTTTCACACCACTGTATATTCTGTTTATGTGTATATACTGTATTCTATATATAGTACCAGTCAAATGTTTGGACCCTTGAATGGGAAAGTGTCCAAACTTTTGACTAGTACTGTACTATAATATACAAAAAGAATATCGGCTGATATATCGAATATCGGCCTTTTTTACTCCCTAATATCGGTATCGGCCCTGGAAAAACCCATATCGGTCGGGCTCTAGTTATTACACACATTTGCTAATTAAGTTGAAGGAATAGTTCACCCCAAAATGAAAATTTGCCTGAATTTTATTCACGTCTGGCCATTCAAGATGTAGATTAGTTTGTTTCCTCATCAGAACAGATTTGGAGAAATCACTTACTCACCAATTAATCCTCTGCAGTGAATGGGTGCCATCAGAATGAGAGTCCAAACAGCTGATAAAAACATCACAATAATAATCCACTCCAGTCCATCAGTTAACATCTTGTGAAGTGAAAAGCTGCATGTTTGTAAGAAACAAACCCATATTTAAGACGTTTTTATCTTCAAACTGGTTTCTTTGCTTCTCTTTTAAATTTGTTATTCATTTGATAAGAAAATTAGTTTGTCCATGTTCATCACAATTACATTTGGTTATATAAGGTACAAAAATTAATTACTTAATTACTTGCACCATCTTTTTTCCACATTAACTTTAATTTCAGTTGAGTTTAAGGGGAAACTCCTGTTCTGTAATGCAGTACTGTAGGTGTGTGTTTGAGCGTCGGTGACCCAGAGCCTGATTACAGACAAGATCCTGTATCATACGTCTGCGCTGCTCCTCCAGACGAGAAGGTGACCATGTATTATGTCTAAAACAGTTTCCCTCAGACAAGACGTAAAACTAGATTCCACTGTTTATGGGAATCACTCAGCAGAGAATGACTGTGTATACTGCACTCTGTCCCCATGTAAATGTTTTTTCTACAGATTCGGAGTCATTGCCAGTTTATTTGACATGGCTTCAACGTATCTCCACTTCAAAATGACGTCATGCGTCCCACTGACAAGTTGGCAGGGAAAAAGTGCGCTGTTGAAGGAGTAGCCGTGCTTGAAATACTGAACAGAAACTACCTTTTTGGATACTAAATTTGTTTTATTGTGCTTAGATGACTGAGCATGAGCTCATTTACCTTACGTCACTCTTTACCCAAAATGCCCCAAAATCGATCAAATTTTTGGATTGCAAAACTTTATATTGGCCAATTTCGTAACCCCAATCATTCAAAATAAACAAGTCAATAAAGAAAGACCTACAGAGAAATCCAAGCAAAGTATTTCTTAGTGTACTAGTGAAATATTGGCAAATAGATCACCAAGCTTTAGCTGCATTGGGAAGCACTTGCAACAATTGTGGAAACGCCACACGAACCTACATCCTCTTAAGTTTCTAGTACATTCCTAGTCTCATCAGCCTGTCCATTGAAAGATTTATTAAAGGCTTTTGTCCAAGAGAGGTTCACATTAGGGTCAGTGTGCTCAAGAGTGTACATAACACTCACTGAGACAGAAACCGATCACTTTCTGAGGTCCAATCCCATCTCCGCCGTTGAGTCTGGCCTCTGATGTAATGATGACTACCTTCACCTGATGCAATAAACATTACCAAATTTGATGAATAGATGCATTTACATTGGACTTTTCCTGTAAACGCCAACCTTGATTTATGGTGACTGGTAAAACCTCTCGGCTTTCAGCTGCATTTCTGTTGGTGTCTTTTCTTGACGGGCAAATCAGTGACAAATGTCTTACGCTGGACTGAGCTCTCACAGGGACTGACTGCTTTCTAACCAGATAACTCCCAGATGTCATTCACTTCTACGAGTGTGTTATGAAAACCATTCTTCCTGTGCTAAAGCGTCTTGTGCAAGTGTGCGAGCTATATCAGCGCATTATTGCTAAAGCAATTAACACTATTGTTATTGTTCAAATATCAAACCCCATGATAACAAGTATTGAATGTCATGTTCCAGACTGTTTGTGCTACTGATATGATATATGGAATGAATTATGTGGCTCACAGAGGAAATTTAGGCAGATTTCGAAGCGAATGGAATGTTCACTGAAACTGAAGGGATTGGAGTCCCTTGGGAACCTCATGGTAACAAGCTAAAGAAACACACAGAACACCTTAGCAAATCCAAAGTGACGCTTTGGCAATATGCTGGTAAGTTTTGCACGGTGCTGGATGGGCTGACCTATAAACTGAAGTAGTGGAAGGTGTTAGATACGGTACTTCTGTCCAACGGTTGTACTGCCAAATTTTAAATCCAGGGTACCAGTAATGTCCATGCCATTTTAGCATTTCTACGTTTAAAAGGTTTAAAATACGGAGTCAACAATAAGTAATCTGTAGACTGATTTCCACACTCAAGTGCTGTTGAAACATCAGTTTATATGAGCTGCCTGACATGACAATAATTGCTTAACCAATGGCGTGAGTTTGGGGCGGAGCTCTCCGTTCATCTCACCAATGGCAAATGAAGGAAGTGTTAGGGAAACCTGTTTGAAAACGGTTTTTGAAAATGTGTTTGATGGAAAAAAGAAACACCACACAAATCATGAATTATGATTTGCTTCTTGCTGTTTCTAGGGAGGGCATTCTCATTTTAGAGAACTTTTAATTGGACAAAATTCCTGGGTGCAAGATGACTCATCAATTTTTAACCCATTTTCAAGGAAAAGAAAGACTACTGTATAGATCTTAAAGCATACATCTGGTAAAATGTATTATTTTATTTAATAACAAATTATGGCTGTGTTCGACATCTTAGGCAGCTGACTTGTCGCCTCTCTGCCCTGTCAATGTCTTGCAGGCAGCTTTTGCAGGAAGGTGCCTCCTGAAATTTCGGACAGACTTCTGAGACAGCATAATTATTTAAAGGGGTCATATGATGCGATTTCAATTTGTCCTTTCTCTTTGGAGTGTTACAAGCTCTTGGTGCATAAAGAAGATCTGTAAAGTTGCAAAGACTAAAGTCTCAAATCCAAAGATATATTCTTTATAAAAGTTAAGAGTCAACCACGCCTACCTAAAACGGCTTGTTCTAACACTCCCCCACATATCTACGTCATGATGTGGGAAAATTTGCATAACGCTGCCCAAATGTTCACGCAAAGAAAGAAGGCGTAACTTTTATTCTCGCTGTAGTTTTGTTGTTGCCGCCGCCGCCATGTCGTGAAGGCGTGTGTTTCGTTGTGAAAGCGAAACTACTTTGTTTGGTCTTCCAAAAGAGGACGATATCTGCTTCGTCATGCCTGGAGCTGATCCGTGCTGGTCGCTGAGGAAATACACGCTGTGGATCGCTAGATCGGCTTTCACCGATGGAAGAAGCGGACTCCAGCCCGGGGTCGTCACATGTGGTTGCCGCAAGCCAATCTATAACAAAAATAGAGCAAGCTTTGGCAATAACTAAGCGAATATTTAATTACAACAATAATTTCTCACTAGAAATGACATTAAAAGTGGAAAAATTTGGTCAAAAGTACATTTACACACAAACTGACCATCAACTGCAACTTTCAGAACTTTAATTTTTATTTTTTAGCTTAATTGTAACGAAATCGAATGCACAGGATTGTGGGATATCAAGGGCAGCAAAAGAGACATCTGTGCTGCATTCAAGAATCGATCAGATGAAGGCATCTCGGTAGACAGGATGTGACATGATGATCATTGGATTCAGACGTCTTGTTGCCTTCCCCATATGCTGCCTGCAGAGAATGCATTTTTCAGCTTTCAGACACAGCCTGTATACGAATCATTTATTTCCACAGTATGTAAAGCTCTGAAGCTTTTGTGCGTAATATCTGCGCAGTTGTATATAGTATGAATGTGTGTAGTATTAAGTATTCAGAATCTCGCTGTATTAGGTCATCCAGATACTTGTTTTTTTCACATACCATTTTTCGCCTACTAGTAGAGAAGTATGCATATGCAGCCGATGACTGTTGTTAAACAGGTTTCCCAAACACTCCCACTCCTTTACCATTGGTAGAACAAACAGAGAGCCCCGCCCCAAACTCACGCCATTGGCTGAGCTGTTGCTGTGTCAGGCTGGCTGCACAAACAAACAGAGCAATAAAGCCACAGAGAAATGTTTACACTTTCCAGGAGAAGCTACCTACACATTTCTTACTTGTATTACAAAGTTAAGCTGGGACAAACAGAAATCCACAGCTCACACAGCTATAAACTATTAGATGAGCGGTTACCGGATGAAGTTATTCATATATGAACACATCAGCTTCCATTTACACAGTCTGTGATTTCACAGGAGAAGAAAAGAGATAAAAGGAGAGGACAGGAAAAAGACTGAAAGTGTGTGTGTGTGTGTGTGTGTGTGTGTACCCATACATGGAGAGGTGGGGGTGAAGAATGGGAGGAGAGAGAGGAAAGAAAAAAGAGAGGAGGGGAAAGAGAGCATGAAAGTGAGGTGTCTTGATCTGTAGTGCACATCTTCACAAACCCTGTCCTGCTGTCTACCATCCCAGCCAGGTAAGAGTGAGCTGTTCACTAGCATGTGATCCACTGTCTGTGTGTGTGTGTCCTGCGACAATGCCGGCTGCTGTGGCAAAGGTTAAGGCAAGTGTTGCTTTTCTGCTTCTCCACTTTCCTGCTGTGCCTCTATGCAACCTTCCCACACTCCTCTTCTGCAGGTTTGACGTCTCTTTGACGAACAATGCTGCAGTGCTTAAGTATTTTAACACATGTGCTGCTGTTAACAGTTATTTAACTATTTTCCCCCTCTTCTCATTCATTTTGTGTTTGCATGCAAATGAAATGGAAGATTTCTGACCTCTTTCTGCAGCAGAAGCTCACTGCGGCTTCCCTGTAAGTTTAAGCTTAAGTGGCAAAAAAAGCCGCAAGCTCTTTTCTTTGGCACTTTTCCGTCTCCCCTGGTTTTATTGTGTCTCGTTCGTGTTGGAAGCGGAGATTTGCTGTGTCTGTTGGATGTTTGAGAAACGTGTGTCTTTTGACACTGTGCTGGAGAGGGCAAACAGAGCGAGGTTTGCTTTAGGTCAGTGTCATGCAGCATCTGCAACCACTGGCAAGTGCAGGGCAGCAGAAATGCATCCCACAATGTGCCAGATCTTTGTTAACTGTATAAGGTTTGATTTAGTTTCACAGCCCGAAACAGAGATAATGTGGAAAACGTGGGACTTTGCATTTATACGCATGCAAAATCTCAGTGCAGATGGGAGATCAAAATATTTATAAAAAGGTTTAATAGTCAGCGGATGATGTTTGGGAATGACGACACCACTGGATAGACAAAGCATTGTTTCTTCAATGCTTTGCTCAGTCTCCCACGAACAAACAGATCTGTTTTTATTGAGGACAAATATTATTGAGCAGCTGTAGCACATGTGCCTGATGTTTGTATGTTACAGTCACTTTCAAGCACGAAACCTGATAAGTTGCAGTAAAACGGCCAGATTACCTTTTCTGGTAAATGCTACATCTGCTGTTCACACATCCAGCAGCTTTCAACAGCTTTTTTTGGGTCCCGTTTACACATCTGCACCATCAGTGCTGTTAAAACTCTGTGAAGTCATTTGGTGGAAATGGCTTTTAAACAGCTACGCCACAAATCTAGAATATCAAACTGTTTCAGGATCTGTTGATCAATTCCTTCATCTACCCAGATGGAGAAAAGCTCTTTTGTTTCTAAGTTTGTCCAATTTGACACTTCTTTCCAAAATGTAGATAATGATTTTCATGTGGTGCGACCAACATGCATGAAAAAACAAAACATAAAACAGGAAATTATGTCATGGAGACGACCCCTGCAGACCCTTGTGAGTGAGCCAAGGTCAATAAGTCTCTTAAAATATCTGATTATTTAACCTTTTTTTATGAGAAGGAAAGATTAGTTCAGGCTTTAAATGTCATGTGGTGCAACTCCCCAAAACACGTAATGGTAACGCTTTAGATTACAACCCGCAAAGAACTATGTAAGTATACTGAATTTACGGTGTACGTTTCTGTAATTATAGTGTACCTATAAAGAACATACGTGTAGGTACAAGGGAACAATGTGTTACGTTTGGGTAATAAGGGGGTAACAACCAGATATGCAACCTGGAAAGAACTGCGTAAGTAAACCGAAGTTACAGTGTAACTTTTTTGTAATTATAGTGTACCTATTCAGTACCTCTGTGTAGGTATAAGGGAATAATATGCGAAGTTTGGGGAATAAAGGGGTAACAACCTGTAAAATTACAAATCATTTATACTCTTAAGTATTTTGAAACTAAGAGGTGCTTATTCTAATATTACGTGGTATGTATGACCTAAACAACAATCTTATGTGTGGGAATGATTTAGAAAGACGATATATACTTTTTATAATTTTATATTGGTATTTTAT